TATTATTCTTTTACAAACCTTAGGAAAGAAGATTTACATGCTCTTCCAGACATTTATGCCCTTTTCTGAAAGAGCTCAGTTGGGAAAATCACCCAATTTCAATCTCCTTAAACTTGACTACAAGAAACTGTAATATTAACAGAATGGAAACGAAGAGGAGATGGCGGCACCACATGGCAGCTCAGGAATGGAATTCCTGGCAGAAAGGTGTTCTCTAAGTGGCTTTGGTCAAGTCAGCTGTGAATCTAACACCCCCTGCAGTGCGGCCAAGAGGGGCCCATGGAGGGTGGGAGGGTCATCACTGGTCCTCCTTACACTATTTCTCTGAGGTCAGGGGCAACTTGCCAAGAGGGGAACAGGTATGAGAGAAGGGGCTAGGTGGCTGGAATTTGAAAGTAATGATCTTACTTTAAGAGCAGAGAACAAACAGTGTAATCTTATTTCTATGGTTGATCTAACCTAGATTGTGTTGCAATCAGTTTTCTTCCGGTCTGTACAGAGCAGACATAAAGACGATGGTCAGCCTATATTTTTGTTTGATGATTTCTGCAATCAGATAGGTTCATGTCCTCTCTGTATCAGAGATGGCAACATGTCATGCTTGGTTCTTTTTTTTTGGAGAGTTTTTTTCACTATAGGGCAAGTGCGCTCGCCAGACAGAGAGAGACATAGAGACAGAAAGCGAGAAATCACCCCCCAGGGGGGATGGTCACGCCACAATCCCTTCTCCTCCACGTTCCTCTCGGGATCTTGGGCACACACGCACACGCACCCGGTGTGAGTTTTAAGCCACTGGGTCCGGGACGCAAACTGCGGCCGACTACGTGGAAGTCCAGCGACATAGCTATTATGCTAACTGCTGGTTCCCCATGCTTGGTTCTTAAATAAACACTCTCTCTCCAAAAGGAAGACCATGATACCTGATCAAGCACAGCACTGAGATGAAGACAGCTCTGAGTTCAAGTCTCAAGGCTGTCCTTCTCAATAACTTTAGAGATGTTAGTCCCTCTGAGAGGACTTTTATCTCCTCATTTAAAAAAAGAATTATTTCATTTAACTTTTATTTATTTTTTAATTTGAGCAGAGAAGGACGGTGTGTGTGTGTGTGTGTGTGAGAGAGAGAGGGAGGGCACGCCGCCAGATTTGGGACTTAAACCATGGTGGGCCATGTGGGAGGCCAATGCCCTTAACCACCATGCCACCTGCCGGCCCCTTTATCCCTCTTTCATATCTTATCTGTGCCTTCAGAGGCTCAATGATTTTTTCCAAAGTCTATTTATTTCCTCAGAAAGAGACAGAGAGTGGCTCTCCTAACAGGGTCTCTGTGCTTTAATCTCATGCCCCACTCCAGCCAGCCGGGACCACGGGCACATATCTGTGTGCACCCATCATGCTCAGGGAGATCTCTGGATGTGGACCATGTGGACCTCCTCATGTGGCCTGAGCACCACAGTGCATTGTGGGACTGCTGCATCACCGTGGCTTGCCTCTGCGCCCTGTCCTTATCTTCAAATGAAGATAAGAATATCTTCTTGGCAGCGATGTGATCAGGTTAGAGGAGACAGTGTATGTAAGTGCCCGGCACTGCGGGCTCTCGGTGAATAGCACCCTTAACATCCACAGTGGTCAGGCTGGGCATAGGCTGAGACCCGTGACAGGTAACCACTCCGTGTACCTCAGCAGGGCAGCCCTATTAGTCGGGCCCAGGAGGCTGACTGGAGGGGCTGCAAGAGGCCAGGGCAAACCATCAGTCTCAGAGCCCCCTGGTTAGAGTAGGGTGGTGGCTCCTAAGGTTGGGGAGGCGTCAGCGCTGGGGACAGGTCCTACCAGTGGTCTTCCCCATTCTCCTCCAGCAGCTGTAGGCTTGGGCTTCTGGGGGCTCCTGCCAGGAGTTGGGGGGTTGGGAGTCGAGGAAGAGGGAATGGGATAGCCTTACGCAAGTTTGGACTTTGGGTATTATTGGAGCCCTCTGGCTATCCCACCCAGGGTTTGTTGAATTTCCTTTTCCTGGTCCCAGGGCCAGACAAGGACACTCTGGGAAGAAAGAAACCATCAGTGTGTACAAGAACAGCAGCTTCTTAATCAGTCCAGGAGAACAGAGCTCAGCCGAAGCGTGGTTCTGCTCTCATTTAATTATCCAAATGATTCCTCTTCTTCTGTCCTCCCTAGGGCTGCATGCCCCAGATTCCCAGGGCCCAGTAATTGCCTCTCTGTTAATAGAAATCATCAGTATTTATTACACCAAGTGCGCCAGCTTATTTCGGCTCTCCTTGTAGCAACACTACGGGGAGGGCTGGGTAGTGTATCACTGAAGTGACTCCACTTAACGCAAGAGTAAAGGCTCCTGAACCGTTCTCTGCTTGGGAGGGCTGAGGAAATCATGAGCCAGCGCCTAATGAGAGGAGACGAGGGGCCTGCAGTGTGGGGTCTGCAGCAGAGCCCCGATGTGACCCTGAGTGAGCAGGAGGCATGGGGACCAGGAACAAGGGTCTGGAAGCCCTTGAAATGATGTCTCCTACCTTCTCCCCAAAGCAAGTCTCCAGGGGCTTCTGTAGCTCTACACTGGGCACAAGACTATAGGAAGAGACTTGAGTTCAAATTCTTGCTTTCCTACTCAGGGCCTTAGAGCTTTGGTCTCCTGGAATGCAGGTCTATTTGTCTGTAAAATGGAGAGCTACATCTACCTCCCAAGGCTGGCATTAGGATTAAATGGGAAAATAATGCCAAATGAATCCACTGGGCCTGCCATGGAGGGAGTGCCACAAAGATCTCCCTCCCTCTCTTTCACCCCACCCCCCCATTTTTTCCGGAAGTTGGTGCCGTGGGGTTGAGATGACATGATACACACCACCAGGCCTTGCATAGTGCCTGGTATAAACGCTGGCCCGGCCCTGTAGCTATTTCAGTCTCTGTGTCCAATGGTGGACACACGAGAAGGCTAAGCCAGGAGCTCCCAGTCCTGGTGCATGTGGATTGGAATGGACACCAGGCTGGCTGCCACTGTGGCTTCCACACCCCCACAGGCAACAGTGGACAATCCCCACCCACCTCTAGTCAGCTGTTGTGTCAGGCTCCTGTTTGCCACTTCTGTGCTGTTAGCCCTGCCCAGGGACCTGTCTGAAAAGGCAGGCAATACATGTGGCCTTAACAGGACTGGGTGGGCTTGGGGGTCACACATGGAGGGACCTGGCACTTTCTGGTTGCCATGTCTATCTTCGGGTACCTACTCTGGGTCCTGGAGACACTTAGCAGTTCCAAGGTTGGCTGTCAAACACGTACTGCACGTGCAGTGCAGGAGGGAGGCACAGAGAAGCCTTCAAAGGCCCAGTAAGTAGGGAACCAGGACTGGGCCTAGGGCCAGCTGACTCCATGTTGTCTTCACTCCTAGGCAGGTCCCCTGCTGATAATATCTGAGCAGTGCATGGAGAGGTTTAAAATACACCTGTGACATAGCGGCTGTGATTTAGAAAACTTGCTAATTTGTAAATATCCACATGTGCAGTTGGTATAAACAGGCATGAAAGTGTTTTCTGACAGTGCTGGTCTCCAGGGGTTATTTGGCAGCAGACTATGCTAGCAGACAGGAACAGTGGGGGTCGGGAAAATGACCAGGGTGTCTGAATGAAGTGATCAGGGCCAGAATGTTCTCAAGGTATTCATATTCAGTCCTGGGCAAGAACAAACCACTATCACCTTCCCGAGTGGAACTACTGTTTTGTCCCCATAACTGAGTTCCTCGGTTTCTATTATGTTTGTAACAGGCTCAACTGTGTCCCTTTAAATATTCATGTCATGTCCTTAAACCCCCCTCAGAATGTGACATCTTTGGAGACTAGATCTTTACGGGGGGGGGGGGTGGTTAAGCTGATGTCTTCAGGGAAGGTCCTACCCTAATATAACTGATACCCTTGTAAGAGGAAATCTAGACAGACAGACACATACAGAAGGAAGACCACATGAAGACACAGGAAGAAGATGGCCCCCAGAAGCCAAGGAGAGAGGCCTAGAACAGTTCTTTGGCTTGCAGCCCTCAGAAAGAACCAGACACCTTGACTTCAGACATCTAGTCTCCGGAGCTATGAGACAATCCATTTCTGTTGTTTAACCACCCAATCTGGGACAGCTTTGTTAACAGCAGCCCTAGGAAACTGACAAAATGGTTTTAATTTCTGCTTGAAATGTAGCACAACCCTCACCTATTAGGAAGGAAGGTTGATGTCTTCCTGAGCCCAGTTAATACCATCTTCTTCAAATCGGTTTGAGAGCTGGTTTTACTGATGGTATTGGACTCTCGCCAGTAGCGGGAAGAGGTGGAAGTGCGTAGAAACTGAGGCAGAGACCAGGAGTGTCAAAGCAACAGGGACAGGCGTTGAAGCGGAGGGCACAGCCACACAGAGACAGAAAGAGGCCCTGGGTCTCCACGGCCTGGCAGTGACTGGCTGCCCACGTTCATCTCGGAAATGTCAGACACATATGAGTAATTACAGAGGTCTTCTCTGGGCACAGCCTCCCCGGCTGGCTCCCGTCTCGCCCTCACAGGCGCATAATGGAATTAGATGCGACTCCACTGCAGTTCTGCGCAGCGACTTACGCCACTGCAGTCAATAAAACCCACTCTTGGAAAGAAACTAGATTACGGGTCAGGGAAGGGTGGCCAGTTGCTGAGCCACCACTGAGCATTCCCTGTGGGGGGCCTTCCCCATTCCTTCCCGCTTCATTTCTACCAAATTACCCAGCTGCCAGGGCGGGCCCTAGTGTCGGATTTGTTATTTAGATTGACTTTACTGTGGATCCTGACATTGACGTGGTACCACGAAATTATGCAGCATGGAATCCAGAGGTGTTTTCAAAATGAGACATCTTCTCTGGCATCTGTCACCGCAAGAGCCGATCATGCAGACACCCGCAGGACCTACGTTGCAGGTGTGCGGTCCTCGCTCCTGTCGCCCTCTAGAGGAGGCCAGGGCAGCGCAGTCTCCACCCATGGTGGGGGGTCTTACCTTGCAGGGGTGAGGATCCACTCCGTATGTCTCCAAGGTCTGCGCTTTTCTTAAGAAGTTCAGCTCTGATGTTGCTGGTGTTTGGCCACTAGGATAAAGAAAATGAGATGGCTTCAGGGTTTCCTCTTTCCACAGCTTCCCCTGAGGCAAGTTTGCCATTAAGAAGTGCTCAGAGGGGTTGGCCGGTGGCGTGGTGGTTAAGGTGGCTGGATCCCACATGGCTGACTTAGCTGTTCAAGTCCCAAACCTGGCACCTTGAAAAGCACGATGGGTGCATGTGCCTGCCCAGAATCCCACAAGAGGACAATGGAGGGGACTACAATTGGCCAACCCCCTGGGGAGTACTTTCTCACTCTCCCTCTCTCTCTGGTGAGTACACCCACCCTATAGCAAATTAAAAGAAAAAAAAGTGCTCAGAAGCAGCCCACATGGTGGTTTGAATCTTTGACCTGGCAGCTTGAAAAACATGCTGGGTATGTGCGGGCATGTGTGCTCCAGATCCTCATAGGATGGAGGAATGGAGAAGTGAGTGGTGTGACCATGCCCCGTGGGGGGTGCCTTCTCCGTTTCCTTTTTCTCTGTCTTTCTCTGGTGAATACTCATACTCATGCCTTTTGGCAAAAAAAAAAAAAAAAAAAAAAGTGCTTAGACTGAACCACATACTTAATTTTCCCAGAGTGCTCCCAGCTTGGTTCTAGGACTAACTTCAGAGACTACTGTCTAGAGTCAAAACTCAGATATCTTCAGGGTGAAGGGGGCTACATGAGCGTGAACACTAAAGGGTGGTGGAGACTGTGGAAAACTGGGATTAACCGCCCCCTACACTAATTAGCACAACTCCTCCTCTTCACTGAGAAGACTGTCATGTGAGAATGCAGGCCCTGCATTACCGGGTGTTATGAATTTTGAAGAAGAATCAGAAGTACTGATGTTTATGTAGTAGTTCACATTTTAAGTATTATGGAGAGAGGGGAAAAAAATCATGTCTGTGGGGGGGAGGCAGGCCAGAGATTGCTTATCTGTGATCTGACCTAGGCTTACATACAAATGAAGGGGCCATCTACCTTGCTGGTGCCACTCAACCCTCTTTCTTTACTAAAAGAGAACATGGAGGGGAGGGCAGCAGGTGGTGTAGTGGTTAAGGATGCTGGACTCCCACATGGCCAACCATGGTTTGAGTTCCAGGCCTGGTGGCTTGCTTTCTCACTTTCTCTCGCTCTTTCCCGCTAAAAAAAAAAAAAGTTTTAAAAAAAAAAATTTAAAAAAAAAAAAAAAAAAAAAAGAACATGGAAAGGTCAGGTGAGGAGAAGCAGGAGACAGTGCTGAGCTCCCCTAACTCAATAGCCCTGTCTGTCAATGGGTGATGATGAGAAGGAAACAAGCTAAAAAGGAAGAAGTCGGCCCTGGCTCCGAGCCACCCAAAGACCGTCAGAATCACTGCCTCCCGGCTGCCTCTGTAGCAGGTGTGCTGAGTCAGTGCAGAGCAGGGAGCAGTAGGACCCTAGGCTCCCTTCTGGCCCCAGAGCCCGGCAGAGCAGATGCAGAGCTGTGAGAAGGGATCGGCAGGTTCTGAAGTCAACAGTTCCAATGGCCTATGGGTAGGGCTGAAAGTTACTTTTTTTTTTTTTTAATTGCCAAAGGGTGCATGTATTCACCAGAGAGAGACAGAGGGAGAGAGGGAGAATGCGTCCCAGAATGAGGCATGGTTACATTGCTATCCCTTCTCCATCTCTCCATCCTGTCAGGATGTTGGGCATGCATGTACACATGCCCACCATGTTTTTCAAGTCATGTTTTTTGAACTATGGTTGGTCATGTGGGATCCAGCTCCTTTACTACTAAACTATGGGGCTGGCCTGAAAATTGCTCGTTTCTGTTTGTCATCTGCCTCAATCCAAAGGAGAAACAGGCACTAATCAATCAGCACCACCTCTGACTTACGCAATGTATAGTCTGGGCCCTTGGAAACTCAAGTTAGAGTTGCAAAAAGGGAACATGGACATGTTTTTACATCATGAAAGCAAAACTGGACCTGAGTAAGTGGCCACGGTTGTGAATGGAGACTTCTGCCTCCATCAGCACACCAGCAAGTGCTTAGGTGGCCGTTAAAGGGCCAGGCTTCAGATGTGCCCAGAGCTCTGAGCCTCTTCCAGGGAGCTTCCTCATTCTCTGTCTGGAGGGTGGAGGCCCTGTGGGCTTCATTCACCCCTGGCGTCTACCCAAATCTCCAGGGTCTTCGAAGCAGGCATCATTTCCTGGAGAATACCCTGCCTTGCACAAGGTTTCTAGAGGACTGTCCCCAGTATTCTGAATCTCCTAAAATCCTGCCCACAGTTCCAACACACCCCTGATCTCTCCTTTGAAAGAACCATGAGACCCCATGCAGCTCTGTGTTTATTCTGACCTTAACCACAAGGGGTCACTATTTTCCTAACAAAGAGTAATGGGAGGCACTAGGGGGCAAGGGACTCAAGCTCCATCTCCCCAGGGAGAGGTGAGAAGCACCTAAGATTCTAAGATAGGTATCGCTGTTTCTTCTGGAGGGTCAGAAACCTGCCATTCAGGATGGGCAGGAGAGTCTTCTTACAAAGGCTAAGGACACTTAGTTTGTTTTTGTTTGTTTATTTTGTTTTGTTTTTTAATTGGGGGGAGATGGTGTGGTCAGTATTGGGACTAGTTTAAACTTAGTATCATTAGAAATATTCCCCACAACAGGACCAGCATTTAGTGTAATGGCTATGTCGCTGGACTCCCACGTAGTCGACCACGGTTCGAGTCCCGGACCCGGTGGTTTAAACTCATGCCGGGTGCATGTGTGTGCGTGCCCAAGATCCCAAGAGGAGAATGGAGGAGAAGGGACTGTGGTGTGGCCATCCCCCCTGGGGGCTGATTTCTCGCTTCCTGTCTCTCTGTCTCTCTCTGTCTGCCTGGCAAGTGCAAGCACCCTATAGCAAAAACCTCTACAAAAAAAAAAAAAATGCTCTTTCCCAGACTTACCCCTTTCAATGAATTTACAGTAGCACGATAGCAGAACAACCAGAGTTTTTCCTATCTGCTTAAATGTTCTCCCATTAAAGTCATGCCTATGAATATCAAGCACGGGAGAGGAACCTAAAGCATTGGGAAGAAGGACAATATTATTATATGCTTTCTGGAAGCTCACCATACTTTTAGACTACAACAAAATAGAATAATTTCCCTGAAGGAATGTATGGAATCAAAAGAAATTAAGGGTCTTGCCACATTTTAAAAGTGCAGGAAAGTTGAAAATTGTGTTCTTTACATAATAGTCTCGCTGGTGAGCGCATGAGCCCTATAGCAAAAACCTCTCCAAAAAAAATGTGCTATGTATTAAAATAGCAGTTTGGCATTTTATTTTGTAATACTGTATTGTATATACCTTTTTCTTCCTAGTTTATCAATTTGAGGTATCTGTGCTCCAGTATGCCACATGAAGTGAAGTCCAAACACTCTATTGCTTTTTAAAATCTGTCTTTGGAAAATGCTGTTTCATAGGAATGAAAGGCTGCATTAAATGAATGCTGTTTTATGGAATTGAGCATATTCTGGCCAAACTAAGAGAAGCTGAGGAAGACAAGGCTCCAGGCTGTGAAGCCATGTCTCCATTCCCTCTGTGCAGGGTCAGGGCTCCCGGTAGAGTAGGTAGGGGAGCCAAAGACACAGTCCCCAAACCAAAGTGCTCTCAGGGCACCCACAGCATTTATGAACCTGGGCCAGCCTGCACAGGCCATCCTCAACCAGAAGTCACCTGTCCCACGGTCATAGACAAGGCAGAGGCCTGTCTTTTGTTCAATCCCCATTCAACCTCTTCTCTTTCTTTTCTCTTTTTTTCTCTTCTGCTGTTTCTTTTATGATTTTCTTTTCCTGTTCCCCAGTTCACACTTCTTCCCTTCCAGTTCATGCTTCTTCTCTCTGTGTCTTCATTTATTTTATTTTTTAATTTTTAAGAGGTTTTTGCCTTAGGGTGTGTGCACTTGTTGGGGACAGAGACAGACAGTAAGAGGGAAAGTGAGAAATCCCCCCCCCCCGCCCCCAGGGGGATGGCTACGCCACAATCCCTTCTCATCCATTCTCCACCTAGGATCTTGGCATGCATGTGCACACATCCGGCATGAATTTCAAGCTGCCAGGTCCAGGACTCGAATTGTAGTCAGCCATGTAGGAGTCCAGTGACATAACTGCTATGCCAACCACTGGTCCTGTATTCATTTATCTTAAAGAAGTAAATTCCTTTCAAAAGCCTGTTCCTCTGCTTTCCTCTACAACACAACTTGGCTCTTGCTGTGGCGTCTTCCCTAAACTACACTCTTGGAGTGAGCCCACAGGGCTTGGGGTTGGTCAGTGGAGCAAAGTGGTGCATCCTGAGGCCAGGAAGCCTGGGGAGTATCACTCTGTGTCAGTAAACGGTCCGTGAGAGCAGAGGACACAGCCCAGAGCCTTTGTGCTCAGGCCATCGGGGAGCCACAGTGTTCCAGGACTATATGGAGTGTCACGCACCTGAGTTCCATTTTGTGAATTTCAGCAATTTTCCTTTCCAACTTCTCTGAATGTTTAGGGAAAAACTGGAACTTGGAGCTGTAGCCTTCAGGGTACTCGAATTGTAGTCAGCCATGTAGGAGTCCAGTGACATAACTGCTATGCCAACCACTGGTCCTGTATTCATTTATCTTAAAGAAGTAAATTCCTTTCAAAAGCCTGTTCCTCTGCTTTCCTCTACAACACAACTTGGCTCTTGCTGTGGCGTCTTCCCTAAACTACACTCTTGGAGTGAGCCCACAGGGCTTGGGGTTGGTCAGTGGAGCAAAGTGGTGCATCCTGAGGCCAGGAAGCCTGGGGAGTATCACTCTGTGTCAGTAAACGGTCCGTGAGAGCAGAGGACACAGCCCAGAGCCTTTGTGCTCAGGCCATCGGGGAGCCACAGTGTTCCAGGACTATATGGAGTGTCACGCACCTGAGTTCCATTTTGTGAATTTCAGCAATTTTCCTTTCCAACTTCTCTGAATGTTTAGGGAAAAACTGGAACTTGGAGCTGTAGCCTTCAGGGTGTTTTCCTGGGTCATAATCTCCAATCTCCGCTTTCAAAAGAAAGGTAGAAAACAATTGTGGAGAAGGTAAAAATCATCAGCAGCAAGGCAACGAGAGACTCACACAGAGAGAGAGCCAGAGCTCGCATCGGATTAACGTGGGCAGGGGTCCCGAGCCTGTGATGGTCGGGCAGAGGGTGGAGTGTGTCCCCTTTTTGTTTCAGCTGTGCACACTGGGTTGATGATCAAGCCTGAGCAGAGACAGTGGAGCTGACCTGTGTCCTGAGGGCACCACGAGTAAATGTGCAATAAAAGAGCGGAAACGTCACGGCCCCATCCATTCGGCTGTGAGAGAGAGGCCTGGGAGCAACCCTCCTTCTGGGAGCCAGCACACGGTGAGCCTGATCAGGAAGACAGAGCCTCCTGGGCCTGAGCCAGGTCAGAAGTCGAACTCATTCTGTAGATTTTAGCAGGGACGTAGCAAATTGATGAATGAGCCATGATCCAAATTCAGAACTCAGCTCTCAGTTCAAATCAAATCGAATGAATAACTTTGAATAAATATTCACTAAGGACTGGCCAGGTGTCAGCCGGGCTCCTTCCCTTGGGAAGACTGGGTATAACCACAGTGTCACGGAGTTCAGAGCACCAAGTTCTAAGGCTGGCTTCTCAGCTCCCTGCCAGGTGGAGGCTTTCTCCTCCAGCCATTCGTGGAGAGAGCTCATCTCTAACACTGTGGAGATCTAGGACCGCTGAACTTTGGGGGGGTGGGCAGGGGACCCCTGGTGCTTTCCACAGTCTGCTCTCAGGTCAGAACAGGCTTTTCCCACATAAAGGACTCCACAGGGAGCGCAGCGGGTATGATAACGGGAGGGAGGGGGTTCCAGCTGCTTTGCGGCTGTCCTTTGTCCTTTCCTAGTGAGAGCCACACCACTTCAGATGAGAAGTCCTAGAGAGGAGGAAGGGAAAGTGTGCCTTTTTCTCACAGCTGAATATCATACTTTGGGCTTGTGTGTTCACCGCAAATCTACTCACCGTGCCTTCCAAATTACTTGGAAATTTCTATGTTTTTTTGTTTTTATATTTGCCAGAGAGCATGTGTGCTTATCAGAGAAAGACAGAGAGGGAGAGGGGAAGTGAGGGGGCACCACCCACGAAACAGGGTCACACTGCAGTTCTTGCGCTTCCATCTCTCCCTCCCTCTGGGATTTTTGAGCATGGACAACGTGTGCCCAGTGTTTCTCAAGCCACTGGGTCTGGAACTCAAATCCTGCAGTCAGCCATGTGGGATCCAGGCGCCTTAACTACAGTGCTATATGCTGGCCCTGTAATTTCTATATCAAGAGACTAAAAGTCTTCCCTGAGCCTGAAGTCCGAGGTGACCTTGAGCCTTAGGGTTATTTATTATGATAATATTCAGAAAGCTCCAAATGGAAAACATCAATGTTACACATCAAATACTTCTTTAAAGAAAAAAAATATGAAAAATTCAATATGATAATCAGGGTAAAACTGAAAGAAAGACTAGAGTTTAAATTTTTATTTATTTCGGAGCTAGCAGGTGGTGTGATGATTAAAGCGCTGATTAAACCACCACCGTGGTTCAAATCCTGGACCTGGAGGCGTGTTTTCTCACTTCTTTTCTCTCTTTCTCTGGGGAGCACATGTGCCCAATAGAAAAATTAAAATAATAATAATAAAATAAAATAATTCTTTAAAAAAAATCACTTTACTTATTTCAGGTTAGGCTTTCTCTCTCTCTCTCTCTTTTGGAGAGGTTTTTGCTAGAGGGTGCATGTACTCACCAGAAAGACAGAGAGAGACAGAGAGACAGAAAGCGAAAAATCACCCCCCAAGGGGAATGGTCACGCTGCAATCCCTTCTCCATTCTCCTCTTGGGATCTTGGGCATGCACGCACATGTGCTTGGCATGAGTTTAAGTCACCAGGTCCAGAACTTGAACTGCGGTCAACTACATGGGAGTCCAGCGACATAACCACTATGCCAACTGCTGGTCCCCAAGGTTTCTCTTTAAAAAAGAAAGGGAAGGGTAAGCAGATAGAGTAGCAGTTACGTTGCTGGACTCCCACATGGACGACCATAGTTTGAGTCTCTTACCCGGTGGCTTGAAACTCATGCCGGTCATGTGGGCATGTGTGTCCAAGATCCTGGGAGGAGAATGGAGAAGGGATGATGGTGTGGCTATCCCCTGTGGGGGATGATTTATTACTTTCCCTTTCACTGTCTCTGTCTCTCTCTTTCTCAGGTGAGCGTGCATGTGCCTTAAGGCAAAAACTTCCTAAAAAAATTAAAGGGGCATCTTTGGTTACCTTAAAATTAGCAAGCATCTCTTAGATTACTTGTTTATGCAATTTTAAAAATAAAAACCTCAGAAGTCAAAATGGTAATGGGTTGAGTTTCTCATTCTCAATGCAGCTGTGATATTTCTTTTGCCAGAAGGACTGGAGTTCTTTATTGGCATGCACTTTCCAGTTTCTCTTTACAAAGTTCCATCCAAGAGTTCACAGATTTCCAATTAAGAGTTCAGATTCATTGATGGAAATGTCATGATTTTAGTGCTATGGTCCAAAATAGTCCAGTGGTAATGACAGTCGCAGGCCTGAGGACAAAGATAAACTAAGACGTGGCATTTAAGTGTCCCCTGTATTTCATAAAAGGAGAAGGGGACATATGTGAAGACTGCATCTCTCTCTCGCTGTTTTGCAAAAAATGCCAATCTGGGCATCAGCTGGGTATGATCAACTCTTTCTTAATAGCATTTTAGGAATGTGCCTGTTGCTTGGAAACACATTCAACTTTGAGCATTCTGAACTGAAAGGTCTCTGAAATACATACCAGAATTCTAGGATGTTTTACACCTTTGAGATTTACATGAGGATAGGAATAAATTGATTTCAATTACCCTCTAGAGTCTCAGTAACTTCAACCAAGAGAGCAAACCAAATCCCCCGATAGAGTCAGAATGACTTTCAGGGGCTGGCTTTAAGATCATAGATATTGTTTAGGATTGAGTGTTGAGTCCTTTTAGGCTCTGGAGAATCTAGGCAAAAATCCTCTAACTTGGACTCCGCTTCAAGTTAGATGCTGTTTAGTCTCGAGAAGTAGTCATCTGTGATCACAGAAGTAATGTAATGAGTACTTAGCATGAGAATAAGTATCTACTGCTGAAAGT